TACATTGCCTGAGAGCTGGACTAGCCGACCTAATAGATCTTTTCCATCTCTAATTTACTTAGCCACAGCTTTGGAGGGGGCAGCAGTAGGCCAAGGAACTACAGGAAAAGATGAATCATAATTCTACAGATGACAAGCCATTATGAGTTAATGTAACTTGCTTGTATAATGCATGCTGTTTGTAACACACTGGGGTGTCGGTGTGACCTACTGGTTGGAACAGGAGTCTGGGCTAGTGATTGGGGAAGAATCAGAAAGCCGAACCAGAGGTGTGGTCAGGGGACAAGCCAGTGATCAGATCCAGGAATCAGGAGTTCTGAGGAAGGCAGGGACTAGGGCAGGAGCAGGGAGAGGCACTGGTTAGAGCAAGGGCTGGTACAAGAAGCAGGTCTGGCACAGCTGCAGGCATGGAACGCATTGAGCAGACACTGTGCTGCTGTTGCTATCAGGCTTAAATAGGGATCTGTTGGCTCTTCTATCCAATCAGGGAGCACAGTCACTTAGTGATGGTTCATTGGGCCCAACCAAGCTCATTGGGTTGCTAGGCGACCGTGCAAGGAGTCACCTGAGTTCCTGACAGTGTTGCCCCTCTAATGTTTAATCTGTAGTGAAGCTAAAAGCCTACTACCGCTTCCCACTAATGGAGTTCCTTCTTTAAAGTGGTGGATGTCTGTGCATTGGTGAAGGTGACACATTCATACCCACTGATGACCTGTGGTGGGGTTTGTTGCACTTAGCTGCTTTCTCTGCACTGCTGCTAGCCTTAACTCCCATCATCCCCCTTATCGTAAAGTGCTATAGAATTTCATAGAAAATGAACTTTTCTAGAGCTGTTTGGAACTGCTCTATGGAATGTATTAGAGAATGAAATCCTTGCTATACAGTTCTGTAGGATGGTTCAGAAAACCATAAAGAGAGATCATGCTCTATTACATTTTTAGGTTTTTGAAGGAATTTCTATCGAACCCTGTTAGTTTCCTACATATTAAAATCTACAGGACTGTCCCATAAAAATGGCAGCATAACTGGCTCCGTTGGCACGTTACTGTTGGCTCCTGTAACACCTCTAATGGGGGCAATGGAGTAAGTAAGCAAAGTTAATACAGCTTAGAGTAGCATTAACTTACATGGGAACTGTCCATGTCTGCTCCATGACTTTCAATGGAGAACATGGTGCAGACAGGCTGCTTTCAGACTCCTTTTCCTCTGCCTCTCCACAGCCCCCAACCCGGTATTTCACAGCTACTCCGATATGTGAAATTGATGCAGAGGCTTTACTTCCCTTACTGCACCACTTTTTCCACTCCACTTACTGTAGCATGTAATGGAGAGACGCATATGGGGGGTTGATTCTATGATAATTTGATGTTCAATATATTCCTGTTCCTGGTCCACCCATTATTTCCAATAGGTGCAGAAGATTTAACTTCTTATCATGAAGATACTTCCTGTAAAAGTATTCCAAGGTGGAGCAGCATTTTGAGTGACATCATCAGAATAATGAACCATTTATAGAACACTTTGTGGGCTAGATCAAGTATAAATTTACCTCACTGTGCCAGGCTAGACCCATGTGCTGGAGAGGGAAATCAGACCACATTGCTGCTGTCTGCTCTCCGTCAAGGGTTCAGGGTTAGAGAGCAGCTTTGAAATCTGCCAGCAGCTCTGCAGGAAACCCATGCACAAAGGCTGCTGAAGGGATCCACGGAATCTGTGTATTCCCCAATGGCCCTGGACTCACCTACTCTCTGGACAATGGCAACCACTTTTGAGGCTGTGCTGGCCCCCTGAATTGGGGAGTTTGTCGTCACCACAGTGTTCTACAAAGCAGACTTTGTATCTCAGGTGCTTTATTCATGGAAATAAGCTGACTTCTGGCCTCAGCAGGATTTAACCCTGCACCTTCAAAGCACAGTACACATAGACTTATGTGTATTAGGATTGCCAACTTTCTAATTGCTCAAAACCGAACACCCTAGTCCTGCGCCTTCCCCAAGGCCCCGCCCCCGTTCACTACATTCCCCCACCCTCGATGGTTCGCTCTCCCCCACCCTCACTCACTTTCATTGGGCTGGGGCAGGGGGTTGGGGTGCTGGAGCAGGTGAGGGCTCTTATCTGGGGGTGTGGGCTCCAGGGTGGGGCCAGAAATGAGGGTTTCAGGGTGTGGGAGGGGGTCTGGGATGGGGCAGGGAGTTGGGATGCTGGAGGGGATGAGGGCTCCGCCTGAGGGTGCAGGCTCTGGGATGGGGTTGGGGATGAGGGGCTTGGGGTGCAGGAGAGGGTCTCCAGGCTGGGTGTGGGGCAGAGGGATTTAGAATGTGGGAGGGGGCTGTGGGTTGAGGCAGGGGGTACGGGCTCTGGCCTGGAGGTGCGGGCTCTGGCCTGGGGGTGCGGGCTCTGGCGTGGGGATGACGGGTTTGGGGTGCAGGATGGGGGGTAGGGCCGAGGGATTTGGAGTATGGGAGCAAGCTGTAGGTTGAGGCAGGGGGTACGGGCTCTGGCCTGGGGGTGCGGGCTCTGGCGTGGGGATGACGGGTTTGGGGTGCAGGATGGGGGATAGGGCCGAGGGATTTGGAGTATGGGAGCAAGCTGTAGGTTGAGGCAGGGGGTTGGGGTTTAGGAGGGTTTGAGGGCTCTGGGCTGGGGGTGCTGGCTTCGGGCTGGGGATGAGGGGTTAGGGGTACAGGAGGGGGCTCCAGGCTGGGGCCAAGGGATTTGGAGTGCGGGAGGGAGCTATGGGCTGGCGCAGGGGGTTGAGGTGCAGGGGGGGTGCAGGTTCTGGGC